GTTCAGCCCAATTTCATTTCCTGTGAAAGTGTATGAAGAAGAGATTTGAGGGTTGATTCCACCAGAAAACGACGGTGTATTTCTTTATGCTCTGCAGGAACCTTCTTTCAATATCTTTTGATTTCGATGAAAATGTGATAAGCTTTCGTTGGTCATACAAAGAACATCATCAGACCAGTCTATCATTCTTAGATTGCATTGAAATGAAGTGATTTTTTTCACCTGTTTTCACCCGGATCGAAGGAAAAGCCAGCAAGAATGTTTTGATAAAACTGATTCACAATTGGCAAATAGGAATGCCCCATCATCTTCTGGAGGGGTCGACTTTCGAAACTTTTCATCATACAATAATAATTATAAATTATTTATACAACAAGATGACAGGTACAAGCTCGAGATAAAACATGTGACCAAAGACGCAGCCTATGTTTCTTATATGATAACATCAAAGGACACATATACTCGTTGGACAAGAATCAATTTGGGCTGGTATCACTGGTGGGACATTTATTTTATGGTACAGTATAACATTAAATATTATTCTATGCTAGCATAAGTTATAGTATAATCTAGTATAGCAATATAATGCACTGTATTGTGTGGCATAATAAAAATAGAATAGCATGCTATTTTATTGTTTACTTCGGCTAGGCAAATATAACACCTTACAAAATGGCCTTCCACATTTTATGAACAAGGAAGTCCTATAATCCAAATCATTTTGGAGGTTATAATCAGACCAAAAGTAAGTCAAACCATGAGAGAAAAATGACTTTTCTGCGAAAAAGTCAAATAAAAACTTCTATTCGAAGGTATGAAGACCAAGGTGGGGTGGCCTTTAGTATGTTTGTGGTCTCCTTTCGTTGTATAGTAGTTGTTTGACGGTATTTTTGCAACTTGCTCATATGGGCAGGAAGACCTAGAGGAACTCACCTTGTCCGGATTCCATAGTATGCATGATAATTCCCAGAGTCGGACCGTGGACTTGGTACATTCCTCGATGTCTCACAGGCATCGTTGTCGGCGTTTTCCGTGAGCCTTGACATCTTTAGCAATTTCTGTTAAATGAGAGCGTATTTACAAGCATCACTTAATTAAATGCTGGAGACTATGTTAATGATAAAAGTTTGGTGAACTTGATTCTTGTTCAAGTAATTTTTGAATCGTTAATGGTAATCTTGGCGGTTGAGTTAATGATTCAAACTGGATTAGGCTAAATAAAAATTAATACAACCAGCTGCGGAATATTATCAAGAATTGAATTTTATTAAAGTTATTTCTTGTATGTTTTTGCTTGTTTTACAATAATAAACTTATATTAAATGTACGAAGACCAACATATCGTTACCTGCAAAAAACTCAAAATGGCTCGCCTGAATTAGGTTTAGATAAAAATGTAATACATTATGATTTTGAAGGGGTAATACGAGGATATAGGTTAGGTGAATACCTCGGGATAGAAGGAGAGATATCATAACTGTCTAGCAGACAAGTAGTCAAAGGATCGACTTCACTTGCCTCTTTGACGAGTTGTAGTGTGGCGCACTGACGATGCTAACTTCGATTCCGGCGAAACGGCTTGGAATGTACCAACTCCACGATCCGACTTAGAAAATTATCATGCTTATTATGGACTCTGAACAAGATGCGTTTCTATAAGACTTCCTGTCCTTATAACGAAGTTGCAAAAACAAGGTTAAGCAATTTCTATACATTTCTGTTCGTCCTGGCAATAACAACTATGAGTTGACATCTTTCGAGTTATTCCATGTTATTATTCACGTCATGGTCACTCTTTGCATTCCTTTACAACTAATTGAATCATTCCATGAGATAGCACCGAAACTGCCAAAAGCAAAAGTAATACCGAAGCAGATAACAAGTCGTGGATAGAATCGGTACAAACTTAAGGAGGAGCAAATAATGCTGAAATTGCAGACCGTCGTCAAAAAGCCAGGAATAGACCGCCCGTCCCACACTGGCCTCAACAAAATAGAGCTCACCTCGAATACAGGACGCCAGCACTCTGCACCGGCACACGAAGCGCGGCGTTCGGAGGCTTCTGTATGTGGGCAAAGACGCGCCAAATCAGCCGGTTTCAGGTACGGTGCAATGAACGGCGGCACGAGGGCAAGTGGAATCAAGTTGCTGGCAATGCGAACAGCCTCAACTAATCCGGATGGAGTGAAGCACTCTGCGGCCCTACGCTCCGGCGTCCGACCGCGCAGCAGCAAACTGCCTTGGGGCACAATTGTGCCTCCCACGTTTGGTTTGGGCCATCAACGCCTAACAGCCTACGAGTTACAGCAAACTGTTTCTAGGCTCTACCAAGTGCCAATGCGTGATGAATTAGTCTGGATGAGTCGATTTCGTAGAAGACCCACTCCAAGCGGCAGTGCGAACTCCAGGAAGCTGAGCAAACGACAAATAGACGATATGGTATGTCAATGAATTTTCGAACTTATTAATGCCCCATCGTTATAAACGCCCTGGCTATGAACACAATCAAGGGCTTTCGATAAGTTAACAATTGTGAGAAGTTAAGTGATAAAATGCTTCATAAAAAAAGCAGTATTCAAACATATTATTTTACAA